GAAGGAAGGAAGGAAGGAAGGAAGGAAGGAAGGAAGGAAGGAAGGAAGGAAGGAAGGAAGGAAGGAAGGAAGGAAGGAAGGAGGGAAATATAACATTCAAACAAGTGTTCATCAATACAGTTTGAATTTTAGATTCAGATCAAGAGTTAGTCAACATATTATCTGTAACATATTATAAAATAGCAGGGAAGGGTAGTTGTTTATCATTATAGCAGCCCTGTATTTTGCACTGATATTCAACTCATACAGTATTTCAGTAAGCTATATAAAAACACAAGCCATGCTAAGCAAGTCTTAGTTTTCTTTCACTTTGTTGGAAGAGAGAAAGAGATACCCTCATAATTTAAGGAGGATGAATAAATTTAATTTAACTCATCTGCATTCAATACATTCTGAAAATATTCATTTATAATAAAAACATGTAGAATATTTCCATGTTTATTTTCCTATGCCATGCTGACTAATCTAGTAGATCGATCTTCTTTAATATTTGGTGTATATTCCATAATGGTTGGCAATCACATTATATTACAATTCATGTATCTTCTGGACTGCCTTCCCTCTCCCCCCCCCCCCCCCCCGTTTAAAAATATGACTTTAACTTTTTCAAATTAACATGTGAATTTTCTCTTTAAATAGAATAAAGACAAACAAAAACAAATGGCTGAGCTGGAATATTGTCTCTCTACTCTAACCATTAAAATGTCAGAGTGTGATGGCTACAAATTTCACAATGTAAAGGTATAATATTTTTATCATATAATTTTAGCTACATTTGTTTTAACTTTGTACTTTGATTTCTCTTAACTGGTTATTTTTCTCAGTGCAATGTATAAATACTATTAATGTTATTTTGTATGAGTTTTAAACTTTAATCCTATAATAAATATTCAACATATGACCATCAACAATCATTCTGGTGTTAAAACAGCAAAGATCAATTTGAGAATGTATATGTATAAAGAAGTATGCTGTATATTTGTATTCACAATTACAGGATAAAACATGGCATGAGATGTTGAAGATGTATCAACTGGAGCCACAAGCCACTGGTGATCAGTTAGACACAAAGAAGAAGGAAGCTGTGTGGGAGCTATTTACAACAGAATGCAATTATTTTCTTGATCATCTGTTGGTGCTCAAAATGGTATGCTTAAATTTTTCAACTATTTTACTGCTTGTAGCTTACCCATTCACCTGACAGGGATCTTGTGCAACCATTTGCTCCATTGAAGATGGTATTCTGTAAGCTAAGATAACAGCCATAGCAGGGATTGCTCAACAAGACTCTGGCAGTTTTTACAAACCAATTTCAACTGGAATGAATTGAATTGGAAAAGGATATATCTAATGTAAGAGCAGATCCAGACTTTCTGCTTGGCCTATCAGCACTGAGGGCTGCTCTCTGCCATCTGAGGTAAGGAATGGATGACAATGTCCTCCTCTCATTCCAACCACACATCCTAAATCTGTGTTTTCCAGAATCAACTCAAAACTGTGGTTTTGTGATGGGGCCTATCTAAAGCGCTTCAGCACAGATGGTCTCCGGTGGTCCATTCTAGTAGCAGCCCATGTTCAATAAGATGTCATTCCTTGCATGCCCCTGCCCTCCCACTCCTGGATGCCTCCCTTGCAACCATTTCATCCTGGATTGCTAGGCTTCTGTGTTCTCTGCTGGTGGGTAGTCGCTATTTTTAAAATAATCTTGACATTAATGTTAATGATCCATTACGTCAATGACTCATCTTCAACCCCAGAAGCTTATGCTCCATTCAAGCTGCACAGTTCTGCAAAGCTATCCTTCCTTAAAAAACAAAATAAAAAAGCTTTAAATTGCAATGGAGAGACATGGCTATTTGGTTTCTATAAAGCTGAAATCAGTCTTTTCTTGCTAAAGAGTTTCCATTGGCACTACAGAGGAAACAAGAATAACCAATGCTCTGTTTAACATAATGCAAGAACATAATGTGGGGAAAAGAGGTCAAGTAACCTCTTTTAGCGTCAAAGGAGCTAATGTGGGGGAAAGGGTGCAAACATTTAGACAAACAAGGAGAATCATAGAAACTAGTAAGAACTGAACAATCCATGAAAGTAAAGGAAAACATTGGCAGATTGGTCCACACTGATCTGGCTGGCAAGGGTTATTTTCCATGCATGGATAAAAAAGGTGAGAAGTAGGAGAATGTTGATGTTTATTGGTCTTGTATGCTGCCCACTCCCGAAGGACTCCGGGCGGCTTACAATAAACAAGGGAAGGGG